AGAGTCAGTCATGACTGGACCTAATGGTCAGGGGTCCCTTTACCTACTAGGTTGTGACTGTTTTGCATTGATTCCTCACCCCACACTCACAGTGAATCCTCTCATGGCAGCTTTTCTACTTATGGGCCTAAAAGTGACCCTAGAACTGAGATGGCACAATTATAAGGCAATAACAATATTTTGTAGCACTTGGGAGTTTCCTCCATTTCTCCCATGAGCCTACATTATCACATACATTCTCTCAGCAATTTTTGCCGTGGGTCTATAAATTAGTATTATTACCGCCATATTGTAGATTGGAGGTGGGATTAGACATACAGTGGTACCTCGGGTTACATATGCTTCAGGTTACATACACTTTAGGTTACAGACTCCGCTATCCCAGAAATAGTGCTTCAGGATGAGAACAGAAATCGTGCTCCGACAGCGCGGCGGCAGCAGGAGGCCCCATTAGCTAACGTGCTGCTTCAGGTTAAGAACAGTTTCAGGTTAAGTATGGACCTCCGGAACGAATTAAGTACTTAACCCGAGGTACCACTGTACTGGCTTGGCAGATAATTCTTAGCTAAAGTGAGATTTGCACTGAGAATGTTCTACTCACACAGCTTGCTACTGGCCTACTTTGGGGCTAACATTGCCATTACTTGCTCTTTTGTTGCCTAGCTTGTGTGATTGCTGAGAAAGATGTCACGGCTCTTGGATCCAAAAGGCTAAATGAATCACTTGGACTTCTGAAGTGAATAACAAACTTCTTCAAAATGATGATTCCCCCCTTGAAAGTTAATTAGTTCAGAGCGCTGGAATCTTCAGAGGATTGACAGTTTCCCTAAATTCATTTATTACTCGAGTCAGGGTTGGTGGCCAGCCAAATATGCAGTTTTATTTGGCATGGCTTAACATGTGTGTGAGTGTGTGCTTCATAATGATTGAAACACACATCTCTCTCGCTCTCTGGCATCAGAAGTGGAACCTCACTACATTTGTTCAAAAAATTATGGATCTCAGCTAATTAAAGAGTTTATAACCTGTACCTAATAAATATTATAGATGGATAAGGATTATTTTTTTTTAGTAATTTATGTAGGGATGGACAAAGGACTCTGCAAAAAGTTTGCAGAACCTGTTTAAATTTTGGCGTCTTTGATCTGCTTTTGCCTCCGGTAGAGTTAGTAGACTTATGGTGTGTAACCTGTGTTACATTTTCCACTGAAATTCAGATTTACTTTACAATTCAGAACTTCACTTAGCATTTGTAACTATACATCCTGATCTACTGATCCCTTAGGAATACTGAGGCTCTGAGGCTCACAGAGCCATCCTACCCTGATATTCTGATATTCATTTAAATGGTGGGGGCAGTTCCACACGGGTGGAGTTGCTTCCTTTGTTGAGATGAATGAATATAGATAAAGTTTTCTTCCTCTCTCATAGCACTAGACCTCATGGACATCCAAGGAAGCTAAATATTGGGAGGTTCACAACAAGTAAAAGAAAATACTTCTGCATGCAGTGCACAGTTAAATTATCGAGCTCACTTTCACAAGAGGCAGGGATGGCCACTAATTTGGATGGCGTTAAAAGAAGATTAGACAAATAAACAGAAGACATCATAGTCATGATGGCTATGTTCTACCTCCAATGTCAACAACAATATGCCTCTGAATTCCAGTTCCTGGAAATCACAATTGGGGAGAGCACCTCTTGATTGGGTCCTGCTTCTTATCCAGCAAGCTGTTATGTTATTACTCACACATGAGGTTCTGGATCAAGTGACAGTAACTTTTTAGTTCACCCTGAAGCCCGTGCTGTCCAGGGAGCATCTGGCTTCTCTTTCTGCTTTGCTCAGTAGTGATCCAATGGAAATTTCCTAAGGGAAATCTCAGGCCTAATGCATACATAGCTGCAGCAGCAACTGACCCATGATGCAGTGGTAGCATATGTACAGAGACACATCATGGATCAGCAGAATGATTGATTCCTTCTCATGCCAACATAATTTGGACCCTACAGAAGAATGATGCTGGCGTGGAAAGGAACCATAGCATTGGACTGAACCCCATGGAAATTTCTCCTATGCCACTGCAGTAATGTATGAGCTTTAGTAATGAATTTACAAGCCGTCGCAGGGTTGGCTAAGATAAGTATTATGATGCGCTTAGTATTCAGTAGTCCAATCCTGTCTTCTGCTATGGTGAGCTGGTGTAATGTATAGAACCCTTCATAAATCACCCAGAATTGGTTCCATGCAGGCTATGCTCCTTTGTTTTGGTGCACCTAACTCTTCCTCCACCATCTGTTGTAGTAGGTTGTACAGGCCATTTATACTTATGCTTTGAGGAGGTTTAAGAGGAACAGGTAGAGGTCACAGAACTTTGCACAGCATACCAGGTCACTGGCGAGATTCTGACAGCAGTGCTAGTTCAAGGCCACACCAGCAAATCCTCCATAAAAATATGGAGTGCTGGAATGTTAGGAGTTAAGTTGCATGACTTTGCTTCATTTGTCTGGTCCAGATATTGCCACAGCTGTTGCAGCAAAAGCTTCTTCTTCCAGTGCATAACTTGAACTGCAGCCATAAGATCAGGCTGTTGAAATGTGGTAGCAGTGATTCATAATAACTTTTTAAAAACAAAGATAGTATATGAAACATGCATACTGCCCCCACTAACAGTTATATCTGAAAATGTAATGTATGCTGTGGTCTTCAGGTCAGTGGACTCCCAGTAACCGACAATGTAATTTTTTTTTGGTTTTGCTCACGTGATCAGACATTGTCATTCTGAGGAACTGTCCAGCATAGGACCAGTGCTGAATAGAAACAAAGTGAATGGATTTATTCCGTTCAACCATACTTTCAAACAAAAATGGGAAGAACAAAATGGTCCAGTCTACAGCTTTTTCCAAATTTAAAGCACATTCTATTTTGGGAAAATGGTGAATTCATTTCAATCTCCCTGCCAACAATTCTGACCAAAGTTTCGTTATCCAGGTGTATGGTAGGGTAGTGCTTTCCATCTATTTTATGTTTGCAGTTTGAACATGGGTATATATTGCATAAGAACAACAATCTCTTTATTCACATAGCGTACCATTTATAGAATTCATTACAAGGCACAGTGGCAACCTCTAGTTTAGACCAGAAGGGTCTTTCAGTGCTCAGAGTCATTAAATGGAGTCTCACTGTTTAGAGGAAATATACTTCTGATCATCAGACGAAGGAAAATGGCATTTATCTTGATGCTCTGTTTCTAAGCTTCCAGAGGTATCTGGCAGTCAGTTCTGGAGACAGACTTTTTGACTAGATGATTCAACAAGGCAATTTTATTTCCTGTTTTTTAATATTGGAGCTTTGGGGATGTACTTGAGCTGAACTCATCTAGCTGAATCCCCTCTAATTTAGCAGATAGTCCATAATCTGAAATGACTGTACCTGCCCCCATCCCTGCTGATATCAGTTAACCTTAGAAGCAGGTCTATAACATAAAACTAACACATCATAACCACAAACAAATCCAGGGCAAATGGCCACCATAGTGTTGAAAACTAAATGAGAGCAGCCCTTTCACAAAACTGTGCATGCAGCATGCTCAGAAAGCAAGGGCATGTCAAGAGTGTTGCCAGTGGAGTGCATATTGTGCTGTGAATTACTGAAGCTGAAAGTCGAGCATCTATTGAAAGTGCTGAATGACTTTGTAATCCAGAATGGCTTTCCACATTCCTCAGTCCTCAAGACAGAATGGAATAAACAATTAGATTGAGAAAAATTGTTGTGCTTACTCTAAGTCTGCCAAGGAACTCACACACCTTTTCAATACACTTGACATTAGGTTACGTTTCTCAGGGAAGAGGTGACTACACATTGTACACCTGTTATGTAGTTTACACACTCACATTTCCTCTCTGTCTATAAAAATCTTGCTGAATATCAACCCATCATTACAAGGGATTCATTCAGTACAACAGATTAGACAAATTCATGGAAGATCAGTGGCTTCTAACCTTGATGGCTATATTCTAACTCCACTGTCAGAGGCAGTAGACTTCTGAATACTAGTTGACTGAAACTGCGGGAGGGAAGAGTATTGTTGCATGCGGGTCCTGCTTGTGGGATTCCCATAGGCATCTGGATGACCACTGTGAGAACAGCATGCTGGACTAGATGGGTCACTGGCCTGATCCAGCAGGCTCTTCCTATGCTCTTAAAGATAGCTAGCAAAAAAAAAGTTTAAATGCTCAATTTGTGACTTGTGAAACATTGAATTCTTCTCCCTTTGCCACTTGGAGGAGTGTTACTGTTATTTAACATTACCCAGATTCCTGAATGGCTGATTGGAGAACCTTGAAAATGCCAAAGAGCCTGACATAGTAGGCTCCAAACCATTTAGAACTTTTACAGTCCTGCAGTATTGGACGCGGGTGGCGCTGTGGGTAAAACCTCAGTGCCTAGGACTTGCCGATCGTATGGTCGGTGGTTCGAATCTCCGCGGCGGGGTGAGCTCCCGTCTTTCAGTCCCAGCTCCTGCCCACCTAGCAGTTTGAAAGCACTCTTAAGTGCAAGTAGATAAATAGGGACCGCTTTATAGCGGGAAGGTAAACGGCGTTTCCGTGTGCTGCTCTGGTGCTGGCTTGCCAGCTGCAGCTTCGTCACGCTGGCCACGTGACCCGTAAGTGTCTTCGGACGGCGCCGGCTCACGGCCTCTAGAGCGAGATGAGCACGCAACCCTAGAGTCGGACACGACTGGCCCGTACGGGCAGGGGTACCTTTACCTTTAGTATTGGTTAAACCTGGTATGCAAAAGAAGACATAACAACAATACCAGTGAGTGCCTTTCCTAATTATTAAAAGCTTAATCCTATTCTTGTGACATCAGCAGACAATAGACTACTTGCCTTCCTAACCAATATATCTTTGCATGATTACAAAACCTTAGAGGTGTCAATAGTGGAATACGATAGCATGAAGGCTAAGCATGAGGTCCAGCCAATGAAGGCAACAGACCATACGGGCACTGCCCAGATGATAGAATGATTCACACTTTTCACTTCAAACAGTGGATTGTATTTTTGTAACTTTTAAGATGCATTTGTGATCTTGGGGGTTGGATGCAAATGCTCTTTAATTATACATTTATTTCAGAGAATGCATACATTCCATGAATTGTTCCAGAACCTTTTCCTATAAATATCTTCTTTTGGAGTAGCATCCCCACATCTGTTTTAGCCTAAACCTTTCCATGACTTGCCCATCTTCTACATGCAGGGCAGTTTACATTTACATTCTGCCTTTCTTGGAAGAATGTAAAACCAAGGCTTTCATGGAAACCAAGGCAGTGTACATGTGATTTTCAGACAGTCACCCATTGAGGCGCTGCCCAAATCCAGATCTGCTTAACTTCAGCAAAGTAATATGTGCTTTCAGACCCATAACTTGGCCCTCATGCACCTCAGTGATGTGAGAGTTGGCAATAAGCCTATGGGATGGCTGACCCTATCAATTTATTCTTTCCTAAACAGACAGATATATCATCTTCCCAAGAAAAATTACCAGTGACAGAAAAGTACATGTGCGTAGAACCGGTCAGCTTCTAATTTTATAAGCAATGCACATTTCTCCCTCAACTCTTCATTTGTCTGTCTTTATTTGTTGTTGCCAAGTTACAGAACCATTTCCATTTCATCTGAAGTCAGTGGCCTCAGGTAGCAGCTGAAGAAAAGTACAAAATGGTTGTAGACATTCATGCTGGAAAAAGCAAGCTAATAGACACAGACACACACTATTAGAGCAAAAGGTGAACAATCTAAATTAAGGATGGGGAACCTGTGACCCTCCAGATGTTGTCAAGAGTCCAACTCCCAAGAGCCCCAGCCAGAACAGCCAATGGTCAGGGATGATAGGAGCTATAGGCCAACAACATCTGATAGGCCTCAGGTTCATTATACATGGTAGACTGGCAGTCACCAACCCGGTGTCCTCCAAATGTTTGGACTACTACATACCAATGGCCAGAGATGATGGGAGTTGTGGTCCAAAAAAATCTGGAGGGCATCAGACTGCGAAAGGCTGCTGTAGAGTTTCCAGTAGTTTTATTTTAAATGTACAGCCAGATTCTGTTCGTGGTTACATGGAAGTTAAGTCCCTACTATGGATAATGCACTTTGTGCACAAGAATGTAGTTTCACTGTTTCATCTTCTTCCTCGCCACTGGGTAACTGCTGAAGGGTCTCTCCTATCTGGAAATGTGGGCAGACCAGCGAGTGTAGCTTTCTGGCAGGCCTGTGGCTGGGCAGCTCTGTTCTACCCTTTCTCCAGACCTCTGTTTTTAATACTGTCTCTTTAGGCACTTACTTTTAATTACCATTCCTAGCTTCTGTTTTTATCTTCTCCCTCTCCCTCTTTTAAAGTTGAAAATGGACTGTTACTTTGTGAATGGAGAACACTTTATTCTTTGAATGCTGAGCAATTCTGAATGCAGTTTATTCTCCCATCAAGAGACATCTCCTAATGCAAGGCTTTGGGTGAAAACAAAAATAAAAAAATCTTTAGTGATTAAATGACACATTTCTACATCTCACAGATAAGAAATGAAGCAAAAATATGTACACTTTTCTCACTGTAAGAGCTGATCCACACATTCATTTTGACTTTTTTAATGTGGCTTTTATTGCATGGTTTTATGTATAATTGTTGTAAACTGCTGTATTATTTAAATTCTTATTTATTTATTTATTTCATAAAATTTATGCACTGCTTGATTGCAGAAAACCTCAAAGCCTAGGCTGCCCCAATAAACACAAAGAGAATTAAGTCTGAGTAGACATGTATATGACTGTACGACAAGTTTATACTGTGACTTCTTAATCAGTGTCTGATCTTTAGCTCCTGCACAGCAGTAGACAAGTCAAAGCCTTCCTGCAGTTTTTCAAATATGCCTCTTGGGGTGAAGGGGGATTCTTTAACATCTCTCAGCACTTAATGTGTAGTGGTATTTGCAGAACATAACTACCTGAACTCAGGTGAGTTAACAACAGGGAAGATGCATCCCAGTTGCCAGGGGAGGGCAAATTATGGAGATTTCAAGGACTAGAAAATATGACAGAGGTTGGAAAAGTGCACTAAAGGGGATGGAGAAACAGCACCTCTTCAGGACCCCAGGGATTCCTGTTGCTGGTGTCCAAAACTCACTTGTCAATGACAGTTCTGACTTATTCATTGGCTAAAAACACTGACAGGTGGGAGAAGCCAGGCTGGCATGTTACCCAGAAATTGCTTAGAATGGTGTCTGTACATTTTGTAACATTATTTATAGGAGGCCCAGAAACTTACTTTTTAAAAAAACCCAACAACAACAACAACAACCCACAAGAATCTGGGGCTGCAGCCTGAGGGGGACTGATGAAGGCCAACATGGGTCCCATGACACTTGCAGGGGCTGAGTTGGTGACCCACATTTAATGAGATAAAGTGAAGTTCAGAACTAGGCATACATACATAGATAAGTAGGATGATGCAGCTAAATCTCTATCATATCCAGCAAGTCAACCGTTTGCAGGTGATTTGAATATTCAGTTAAACAGAATAATTTGATATTATTGTTCAGGAATAATGCACAAATTTAACTTGTCCATTCCAGCCCACCCCATCTCACACAGAACAAAGTGCCTGCAGTGAAGAACAAGTTGAACACAAAATGTATGACATACATTTCCAGGTGCCCAACCGTATCGTTTTTAACTAATGCTAGCTTCATTTCTGACTCTCATGAGATCATAAAATACAGAATGCAAATACTTCTTCTGTGGTATTGAGCCCCCAAACCCACATATAACAGCCCAGTATATCTTCATTAACAAGAAACATTTCTATTGATTTTATTTGGCTATGATTCATATTACACATAACAAATATGTATGGTCACCTAAATGAATTATTGCAATTCAATTTGGAATGATTGCATAAGGCTATTGTATTATCTCTAGGATGCCCTAGTCTCTCGGTGTCAAAACTGTTTTTATTTAATGAAATAACATGGAAAAGTTAATCGGAATAGGTTAACCTCCATGGATCTCAAGGTCGGTACATTCATCTCCTGCAAATGGGGATTTTTAAAAATTTGGGGAAAGAAGTCTAGATATTGGAAAAGCAAGGAAAGGCTGCGTAAGACTGTTATGAGCAGGATTGCACTTTGTGACATTTCCATTCATAACCTAGAAGATCTAGAAGTTCTTCGAAAGAAAGAAATATTGTATAAGGTTATGTATAATAAAAAAACAGCAGTCTTAGCATGAATAACAATAAAGCCAGAAGTGGATGAACTATGGAAGGAAGTAGATGTCCACTTACTGGCCTGGTGGCACTGTCTGAACAGCTGTCTTGTCTGTAAGCTGTGACTGCCCATTAAGGCAAATGTTATCAACCAACTCATTCTCTGGACTTCTGAGTGATTACAGAAGTCTAAAAAGGGTCTGCTTTGTCTTATTATCAGAGCCTACCAGATCTCACTGTTATTAGAGCTATCATGTAGAATGCCTTTGGTATATAAATGGCATGGAAATTATTTAAATAAATAAAATTAACATAGCAAATGGTTGTCTGTTCCCACACTGTGTCATAGAATTATCAGAAACTTAAGGTGAACAAAGCCTTCTATTATATATGATTTCTAGGCTTTTTCAGTTCTTATAATATACACCAAAAATCAGGGCAAAAAAAAATTATGGACATGATATGGCCCAATGATGTGGAAATTCTTGAACAAAGTTAGGTGTGATGTTGAAGATCCTTACCCAAATTTCCAAACAAAAAAAGCCTATTCAAGAAGAGAACACTAATCTTGGGTGTCCCCCCTTCCTCAGCTGACCCTTTCCTCACACCCCTCCCCACTTTTTGTATGCTACAGTGTAAGTTTTCTGTATATTCTCTCTCTCTCCCTTAAATTCTGTGTAGATTTGTGATGGAAGTGTCTATGAGATGTGTTGACGCGCAGAAGAAGCTCATGAACCATGCAGAGTAGATGCTAGATTAGGGATCTTTGTGAATATAATATAATATAATATAATATAATATAATATAATATAATATGCCAGGCATGGCCAAACCTCACCTTCCAGATGTTTTGGGACTACAATTCCCATCATCTCTGACCACTGGTCCTGTTAGCTAGGGATGATGGGAGTTGTAGTCCCAAAACAGCTGGAGGGCCAAGTTTGGCCATGCCTGTACTATGCCTTTGCCAGGTATTGGAAATAATACTTAATAATATCCAATTATATCTCCCTCCCTTGGGTCATCCATTTGCCCAAGCATATTTTTGGGAGATTACTGTGTCCCTGTTCATTACTTGTCCCTATTACACTTGCTTTTTATAGAAGGATGTGGTCCATTGCACCATGATGGCATGTTCTAAAGCTGTCCCATCTTTGTCTCAAATCTTACAGTGCTACTTCTTCACCTACTTATGGAGATTTCTGCAACATAAATCTGTCCCATAGAGGTATTGTTTGCAGAATTGATTCTGCAGTACTTGGTAAATAACTTTAGCTATCTCTTTTCCACACAATAGATTGTGTCCATTGACCAAAAGGCCTGCCTGATTTCCAATTGCAGCCTTACAGGTTCAGTCTGTATTTATGCTAGGGAACAGCACTATTGTCACTGTTCAGCAAAGCAGGTCTGAGAAGAGATCATTAATATTTTAGAGAGCTAAACATAGAAATGACTCATGAGTGATAAATTGCTCCACCTGCATATGTATTAGGTCAATTACTCCTAAAGCAATCAAGATGTCCTAGTTTTAATAAAATTCCTTTCAGATTCTTGAATTCTATTTTTCCTTTCATTTCCCTAAAAAATAATAATTAATCTAGATGATACGGTCTAATCTGCTAGCTGTTTGGGGTACACCACATCTTGTCTCAAGGAAACGAGGAAAGTGTAATTCTCATTATTGAGGTCAATGAAGCATTGTTACATTTCTCTCCCATTTCTCTTTTTTAAAAAAAGTAAAATAAATCTACCAGAGTTACAATGGTCCAAGTGATCTACACAAGGAGTTACCCTGTCAACAAAGGCTTACCCATTCATTTCAATTGGGAAGGCTGCTCTATGTGCACCTTCCTTTGTGCATGTAGAACTGCCTTCTCTGTTTAAGTGAATAGTGTAACGTGTTCATGTTGATACAACTTCCACACAGGCACTAGAGCAGACATGTTGCTCTATAGTGGTTATTCAATTGAATGCTTTCCAGGCAGTCATATAGTTGGGTCTTCATTCATGCAGTTTCCCAAACTATTTCTCTAACCCCGGTCATAGGTTAATAACAAGAACAATGGGCTTCAAAAAATGGAAAACATAGATGTATCTCCCCATCTCAGGGCAAATCTAAATGTATTAGAGAACTTTTCAGGGAGGATAAATTGTCTAATTAGTAAACATAAAGCATAACCTGTGTTGGAGGATGCAGATGCAGAAGTCTGACATGAATCCCAAATCTCAGAATGGGAGCATGATGGAGTTCTAATTATTCTGCAGTTAGAAGAGCTGATAAATGAAACTGTCCATCCCCAAAATATGCAGAGTATCTAACATGCAAACTGATCCTGAATTTCAAATCAATAGGGCTTAATATTTCACCAGCAATCATACATTTGAAAATCAATGCTGTCAAGTTTGGTAATGCTCTCCTGCAGAACAGATGTGTGGGAGACAAAGATAATAAAGGCAGTAGTCCAAGAATGAATTCTTGGATTCTCAGCAGTTCAAAAAGTTATTTATAAAATTCTATAACAGGGGAACTTCTACATTTACTTGAAAGATGAAGAACTAGATTAGAGTGTGTATGTTGTACCTTGAACCCAATGACACTGCCAGAATAGGTGCCCAATAACTAATCATCCCTTAAATATGAAGCTCCTTTGCGTGTTTGAATGCACTGGCATCTTGATAAAAATAGAGTCCCAACAAAAGGAGTTCACAGAAAACCATGCAGAAAACTGTCTGGCCAGAGCAAAATAGTTCCCACTTATTAGAAGAGGTGGGTGGCTGTAGAAAGGCCCATAATAATAATTCTGGCATGGATGAGAAATGAAAAGTAAGCATCTAGCAATAGACCCAGATGAAGCCACTGCACAAGCGCTGCTGTTGTCTAAAATGGGCAATGGCATATAGGGCCGTCTTTAGCATATGCGGCGCCAGGGTGCAAAAAACTGCTCAGCGCCCCCATTTGGGGGGGCAGGCCAAAGTTCTTGAGCCTTTTGGGGGGGCAAGCAACTCTCTCCCATGCCACTGTGGGTGGAGGGAGGGGAGCAATCCCCGCAGAGGCTTGGGAGGGAAGCTGCGTGCCTCGTGTGAGCAGCATGCGTGCACTGGGTGGCCTGCCAATCCCAGGTGCACAGGCCTCAGTGTCCGCAGCAGAAAAGCCTGTGGCGCTCCAACGGGCTCTGCTCTGCTCAGCAGCTGCTGTCGGCTGGCCTGGCTCTTCAATCCCCGGACTCCAAATCTTGGCCCCGGACTCTCGGCCTGGCGCCCCTGAGAACCCGGTGCCCAGGTGCCCTGCACCCCTAGTGCCTATGGGTAAGCTGCCCCTGCTGGCACACTCACCAAAAGAAGGAGGAGGAGGGGAGGAGATAGTCTGAGACTGATGAGAACAATCACTAGGCACAGACAAAGCCACAGCTGCTGCATGCTGCATGTGTACATGGGGAAAGCCCACACCAGAAACCATGCAGAAAATTATTCTTGATTTTATAAGAGATTGAAAAAAGAAACAAAAGAGCCACCTCTCTCTCTCTCTCTCTCCTGCCACTCCAGCAATTCTTTCTTTCTTTGGCGATCACTCATAGCGAGTAAGATTGTCCTCCATAAACACGGTTTTAACAATGAGTCTATAAGTGACTGTGGAGGCCAATTCTGGATCCACACATCCTTCCACAGTGGGGACATTGGTTTCTGGCAGAGCAAATAAATAGTCTCAGACATTAATTCTCGGAGATGGAGGGGATCCATTGCACTCTTATAAAACAAACTCAAACCGAACAACAGTAGGAAGTCAATTTTCATGAGAAGCTAACGGAAAGGAGACTGCTTACCAGAGTTTCTCTGAACATTTCTTATTATTAATATTAATATTGTTATCATCTCACCCTTTCCCCTAAGGTCTCAGGGTGGGTGACAATGATTAAAACACAATGTGAAAAACAGTTTAGAACAACTTACAGTCACAGAAATAAGGTGTGTCCTAAAAATACACATCTCAGCTGTTCTCAGAGTGGTTTAACAGTCAACCCCTCTTCCTTGGTAACTCTGGGAATTGGAGCTATGAGAAGGGAATGGGGTATCCTCACAATTTTCAGCACCCTTACCAAACCACAGTTCCCAAGATTCTTTGGAGTAAATCATAACTGTTTAATGTGGTATGATACTGCTTTAAATGTATAGTGCAGGTGGGGCCTTTGTCTCCATTAAGCATAATTTATTACACGGGGGGATGGGACGGGGGGGGAGAACCTGCTTAGCACTGGTTTTAAATGATGCTCTGAGTTTTTCAGAGTGACTCTGAAGTCAGCAAATGAGTGTAAACCAATGGGAACAATAAATAAAAAGTGAAGTCACATGTATCTCAACTTTTAAAAATTCAAAGTTAAAGGATGTGTGCAATTTGGAGTCCCTTAGGTGCATATGTATAAAATGGAAATAAACAGAGCTGGTTTGCACTATTTAATGCTTTTGTCCCTTTGCATTTAAGAGGATTAAATTACTATTTTTTAAAAAAGAGGATTTAAGCAGCACCAGTGTATATTTAGTTTTCGCTTCAGCATGAATTTTCTTTCTCCAACCGCCCCCCCCCCCCGCGCTCCTCGTTGTGTCTGGGAAGGATCAAGTGGTGTTTGCATTCATATTTAAATTATCTTGCTAACCTGTTTTGATTCCAGTTTAAATCAACAGCTTTTGTGACAGTATTTAGCAAGATAAAGTGCCGTCTGGAACAGTTCTCTGTGGGATCGGTATAGAGGAAAAAGTGATACAGTATTAATCTTCATTTAGAAAATATGCAACACGGCACAAGCACCAGTGGGCATTTTTCCTATTGATCTAGGCATTTCCTTTTCCACAGCGGTTACTGACCATGTCCTTTGCTGCTAACCCCAGTCGTTTGTGGCTAGAAAATGAAGACACCCAAGTGTGCTATTGTCAGACCCAATCCTCAGCTAGGCTGTAACTTGGGAATCTGCGAAGAAGGCTACGGCAGCAAAACTCTGACGCCTGGCTCCAAGAGCAGCTCTGATGCCGCCAGTCTGCAAGACGACAACATGAATCTCTGTGATCCCCAAATTGCAGCTGATTGATAGGAGGCCACTAATAAAATGTCGTATCATATTGATGGGGAAGGACCACAGTGCCAGTGATAAAGCGAGATCGGTCAATTCTGACAAACATGCATCATAGCCTTATTATTGACAGTGGGAGAGAGTATTGATTGAGCTGTCAGGCTGATCATATTACACAATTATGAGATTAGATTTACATTTTTAATTCTTTTAGGAGAAATTGGCCTGAGGCAATTACGGGAGAAATATATATATTAAGATGGATCCAGCTTCCAAACAGGGGAGGGGGAGAAGGGAAACTAGAAGCTTTTAGAAAGATGCATTCATTGTCACAGAAAAGTTTTGCTCATAATAGCTGTGACAAGGAA